GACTGTGTTTCGTCACTACAGACACTCAAGACACAAATAAGCCATGGTACAGCAGTGAGGCCTGCCTTATGCCAAGGTTACTGAGCTCAGCAGATGAGAAAAGAAACACTTCTTTTACATATGTCTCAATATCTGGCAATCTTTAACTCGATGTTCGGGTGGCCCTGCGACTAGTTAGCACTCAGGTCCTAGGCGTCCAGTTTCAGCAGCTGGGTTGTTTAGTGGAATCAACAAGCCTCACTCAAAAAGGGAGGTGAGGTCAGATAATGCCAAAAGGGGGGAGGGAGTTTTGACATGGAAAAGCTAGAGACATCGCCTGGGGTTTGGTAAGGATCTGCAGAGACTCAATCAGACATGCATCGCTTAAGGACTGTGCATTCAAAAAGCCTTAGTGAACCCCTCTCGCCGTAAAGGTGTCACTGGAGGTCACTTAGCAGGACAACAAAGGAGCTGTCCGGCCCCTCTCTCTCCACAGGTTGCCTCCGACATCAAAAGTACCACCCTTTCTGATCCCTTTTCCCGCAGAATGGCTGAGCCATAAAACACCATTCCCTTCTCTCTTTAGCCGATGTGCAAATGTGATAAGCCAGGCGTGCAAAAGGGGGACACGAACAACTCCTGCCTTCTTAAGCTTAAACAATGTGTCATTATAAACTGTTGTTCTGTTTAAATAATAATCCTCGCTAAGTTAGTAGTGGCGTTTGCCTCTTAGGTTAGTACGTTACCATGTTGTTGTTGATATTGTTGTTGAAAAGAACCTAAATAAGTTAATTTTGCAGTGTAATTTTCAGCAAGGATCCCTGACATTTCTTCATTTTATGTTGTAACCAATGCTTTGACACTTTAGAAATGATGATAAAGAAATGTCATCCTATACTCGATTAATTTTCCAGCTCGAATTTAATGTTAAATAACTAAATTCCCCAGCTCCGGAGCAAAGAATTGTTTAAAGAATAATCAAAGTTGAATATCTACTCTTCACGTAACCAGAGCTCCCCAAGTGGACAAAATAAGTATTACATGCCATCGTTCTGAAATGCCGTTTAATGTATAAATGTTACTCTATATATTAATAATTTGATGCCATTCGTGTATCTTGCTTATACTCTCTAAGTTAGAACGGGTAACAATCAATATTATCTAGAAAGCTAGTTAAGTTCCCCTCATCTGATGTGATTCCTAGGAAAGGTTAACTACTGACAATTGTTTTCCACTGTATCAAATGCTTAAAACTAAGAACTAAGAACTGTTTGACCATTAAGGTTTGATTGTGGGAAGATATTTGATTACAATACGCGCAAACAGATTTTGAATAGACATATTAAAAGTTTAAAGAAAAGACAGTTTCTCAGGAAACCGTAAACAAGGCCTCAAGGGGAACAAAGGACTGCCCCTCTGGGAACTACGCCCCAACAAACAAAAAGAAGACACACGCTCTTGTTCGCCCTTTTTTGTCCTGTTCTCTTCAACTGCACTTCGGCACACGCCCAGCGCCCTAAGAAGTTCGACCCGGCGAAGCGAAGGCTCTTTGTTCGTTCCAAGCCACACACGCGAAGTGCCGCGTCCTCAGCTTTCCCTCATTTCCAGCAACTAACTTGTTGTTTTTATTTTATTTTATTTTGTTTGTTAAAAGTTATCAGACTGTTAAGTTACACTAGTTTAATTCAAGAACGACCGAGTTCTTTTAAGCTTTATTCATCGAGCTAACTTACACTGCTCCCACTGACGTCCGGAACCCAACCACGTGGGCCCGCCTTGCCAGCAGTAACCCAAAGAACATCCAAAACAATAGCCTAATTGCCAGACCGAGGACGGTCAACACTGGAGTGTTTTTCTTCATTCAGACATGGAGAACCCCGGAAAATTCTCTAGCAGAAAGCCAGGAATCGGGCAGATAGCGTGGGGACCCGTGCAACAGGCCAAGGCAGGCCAACGACACCAGTAAGGCAAACCAAGGCATTCTGTGATCAGTGATGTCCAATAGTCTGTTAATCCAGTATCTTTAATCCTTAAAACTCCTAGACAAATTTAACTGAGTTATTATCATAGCTTGCATTCATTAGCTGCCCGTGTGAATCAAAGACTTCACACAATAGAACCTCACATTCTCATTGTTTAGCCATTGTTTATTTCTTTGATGTATATTTAACCGCATTTTATGTCACCTTAGTTAGTTACTAAATTTCACTGTAATCACAGGAATCGTGTGTGTGTTGCCTACCTCCAAGTCACTGCCACGAGAATTTACCCCTCCGATATGAGACTGACTGGTGGATTTAAGAAAACTGATCAATTATTAACTGATCACTAGTGAATAATTGTATATATATAATTGTATATGTATAATTATTAACCATACCTAGGAAATCCAGAGAATCTCGGGTGGTGCCCCGCGAAACGAGAGCTTAATGAATTAATATTCTCTTAATATTAAAATTCATAATTTTGGATTGATTCTCATAAGTTTATTAAAACATAAGTAGACGTGCTACAGTTTTAACTGTTAATAGCAGGTTTTGTCCTGGAGGTCTGTCCTAGGCGGCTTTTTGTTTGATTAAATCTTTTGAACTGTACCTGCCTGTTCCCATGTCTGCATTTGAGTCCACCCAACCATCTCCACACCACCACACACAACAATTAACTCTTTATGTATTCTTCTTTGGAACAACAACAACATGGTAATATAACTACTCAAATGGAGTGAAGAGACCTGCTAAGTAACTTAACAAAGATTATTTAATTAAACAAGGTAATAGGTAAGTTATGAGGAGTCAATATTAATTTGTCCACACAAAGGAATTCGGGGCAGCGTCCTTCTCTGGCGTCTGGAATTTCTCACACCTAAATGTGAAAGTGAGAGGGTATGTTAGGAGTCTAAATTGATGGCTCTTTGGTGGGGTAGGGAATCAAGACTGAAGAAGGGGGTCTTTGATGTCTGAGGTAATCTGAAAGAGGAACTTCGTTACCATGGTTACCCTGCCCTCTTGGTCTTGGGAATGTTTAGAGGTTGTTTAGTTTATGGCTGCTGAGGTCCTCACAGCCTGGTTCAGGTTGAGGTTAGTTTCTGGACAAGGTTAATATTGTCATTTTAATAGTCATACAAAGAGTCTGTTATATCTGCTTCACTGGAGGTGGTAGGTTTTATGGCTGAAACTGCCCAAGCAGCACTTTGGAGTGGAGCAAACCTTTCACCCCCTCCTCTGGGGTACTTTGGCTGTCTGTTGAGGGTTGATATCTCACCAGAGACCGGGTTTACGTCAGGGTCAGATAACTAGTATTTTATAAGATCAGGTGATAATAAAAAAAGGCATTAAGGGCCATGTACAGAACACATCTGATAGTTTTGTCAGTACAACCAGACAGTGTTTATCTGTTATCCTAAAGCAGGTAGGAGGTGGTGTGAAAGGAGGCCATTTTAACAGAAGCAGTAAGTCTGTGCTACATGTTGTTCTTCACATCTGCCCTCTCTGTCCTGCTCTGCCATCTTTGGTTATGAAGGTTAATGGTGCTGATGTGTGTTCATATTTTATTTTAACTGGAAATAGCTGAAAAACCTGAGATCCAGTGAGAGGCTGAGGTCAAAGGTCATGACCAATACCTTTATCATTAACTGTCCAAGTTTGGCTCTTTTTTATTAATTGGCAAACCAGACAAGACAATGGGATTATAATGAGATATGGATGAATGGAGAGAAGCTGTGATGGAGAAATTTATTTGATTTGCACTAAGATATATTACTCATTGAACTTGTAGTGATACATGTTCATAGGTGGTTAGTTCAAACATGTTGAAATGTTCAATCTATTGATGAAAGTGTGTGTGTACAGTGTGTGTGTGTTTGTGTGTGTGTCCTCAGTGAAGTGTATCAGTCTCTGCAGTAGCTTCCAGCTGCAGCAGTCAGTTCAGTTTCTCTTCAGTCTGACTGAGGGAGGTTTTTGTACGACGCTTTTTCACTGTGTGAACACATACTGACTGTTGATAACATGAAAACTCTGACAGTAGTAAACTGCTGCATCTTCAGTCTGGACTCCACTGATGGTCAGAGTGAAGTCAGAGTTTGATCCACTGCCTGTAAAACGATCTGGAATCCCTGATGCTCGAGTGCTAGCAAAGTAAATGAGGAGTTTAGGAGGTTCTCCAGCTCTCTGTTGGTACCAGGCTAAATAGTGGTTTGGGCTGCTATAGAAAACATTCTGACTGGTCCTACATCTGATGGAGATGGAGCCTCCCAGAGCAGAGCTCACTGCTCCAAGCTGAGTCACTGTGACCTGGCCTCTGGACTCTGAGGATACAGAGACAAAAACATAAAGCAGCGTCATGGTTTTGTGGGCTTCATTTCAGAGGGACGGATGTTCATAGAGGAGAGGAGTTTGATTCTTTGGACTTTACCTGTGAAGCAGCAGCAGAGGAGAGTCCAGATGAGGACGCAGATCAAAGTCATGTTTTTGATGAGGAGGATTTCTGTGGCTTCTGTTGTCATGAAGGACAGCTGTCAGTCATCCAGTGTTCAACTCTCAGGACTATAAACTCTCCCAGAGCACTGGAGCATGGTGCTGCTGATGCAAAGTGGCTCTCTATGGAAATGCTCTGACTGACTCCAGCAGGGACTTGGATTACTCTGATCATGCTGTTTATCAATGGATCAATCAATATATCTGAGTATTAATTATAAATCTTTTAAAAACTATTTTAATATAATATATACTATTTTAATATATATTATAAATTATTTTGGTTTCATGCTTCTAGACATATGTTGTTTCAAATTGTCCTTTATCTTATTTAAATAAGAATAAGAAACTTTCATTTTAAAATAATATATCAAATAAAAACATGCATTCTGGAAATTTGTTACACTGTCTTATTTTCACATTTAACATAGAGCTGAAGAAACAGCCATATTGGTGAGTTTGTTTGTGTCAAAGTCAGAGAGCCGTGTCTCTCTACAGTGAGAGGTTTTTGTACGGCGGCTCAATGAGTTTGTATCACTGTGGTGGACTTTTGGTGGAGGAACCAGACTGGATGTTGGAAGTAAGTCAAACCTTTAACAAACTTTTATTTTAAGAGCTGTTTTTGTTCTTTTATATTCAGCATGCCAAGAAAATATTTGACTTTCTAAATTAATGTATAATATTTAATAAAATATTATGCACTAAGATTAAATGTTCACTTCAGCAAATCCAATTCAAAAACTCGTTCCATTCAATATATAGAACAGTAGGCTAAACCTGTGGAGAAATCACTATTTACAATATTAAAGGTAAAGTTGTAGCTTGAAGGCTTGTAGCCTTAGTTTAGTTTGACAAAGTCAGACAGCCGTGTCTCTCTACAGTGAGAGGTTTTTGTACGGCGGCTCAAAGAGTTTGTATCACTATGGTGGACTTTTGGTGGAGGAACCAGACTGGATGTTGGAGTTTCTGCTGAAATACTAAATACAGCATTGTCAAATCATGCTTTAAATTCACGATTTGAACGTTTGAGGCACAAAACTTTTATTGTTCATGTTTTTATATCTCCTCCTTTACCATGGAGGCTAACTCAGAGAAGCTTGACTAAACTTTTCTTTACACATACCTGTCATACTGAAATTCAAACACCCTGAAGTGGCAAAAAGATCAAACTTTAATCTTAAGGTAAAAATGTATGCCAAGATTAGTTTTGAAATTTCCACTGCCATAATAACTGTTGTTAGGATTTAATAAAATTAACTTTCTTCCGGTAAAATTGAACAGATAGAAGATAAAGATGGATACTTCCAAATGTTGCATATATGTTGGAAATTTGTTTGAAATCATTTAAAAACGTTGGTAACGATGAGTGAAATACATATGAAGAACATTTCCTTCTGGTCAGTTCATTTTCTGTATTTGTTTACTCTAAATGTTTTAAATTAATGTATAGTTGAAATTATTGAAGAGAAATTTGATATTTTAAATCTGTAGTTAGATATATTTCAGGTCGTTCTGTATGATGATTCTCTCTGTGCTGATTTGCATGAGAGGCTTCTTAAAGGGAAGTGAAACAATGTGTGAGTGAGTGACTGGTGGAGCAGAAAAAACATCTGACAGAAACTCCTTAAAGGAGAAAATCAGCTCTCACACAGTAAAGGTGTCCTCTAAGCTGATTGGTGTCTCCTAGGTGATGTCCGTCCCACCCTGACGGTGCTTCCCCCCTCCAGTGAGGAGCTGCAGCAGGGGAAGGCCACGCTCATGTGCCTGGCCAACAAGGGCTTCCCCTCAGACTGGAGTCTGGCCTGGAAGGTGGACGGCAGCAGCAGCAGCAGCAGCTGGGAGGAGAGCAGGAGCCCCGGGGTGCTGGAGAAGGACGGCCGCTACAGCTGGAGCAGCACCCTGAGGCTCCCTGCAGACCAGTGGAGGAAGGTGGGCTCTGTGACCTGTGAGGCCACCCAGGGCTCCCAGGCTCTGGTCTCAGAGACACTGAGGAGAGACCAGTGTTCCCAGTCCTGACCTGACTCACTGGGACTCTGCTACTGGTTTTACTCTGCTCTCTGAACTCTGTAACTCTCTCTGTGTCTGTGTCTCTTTCTTTCCTTAAGTCATTCTCTAATCACATGTTTCATGGTTAAAGTTTGTTTACTGGATTTAATTTGGATTATTTCAACACAATAAAGACCAGTTCATTCAAATCTGTTGTTTTCATTTCTGTTATAGTGACTGTACTCAGATCATTTAACAATATTCAACTTTAAGTAGTGAAGCTTCATTGATGTAATAATGCTCATGCTGTTAACACTGTAAGAAAATAAAAAAAGTTATTTCAAATTAAATAATATGTCATGATAGTTTTATTTTTTACCAACAAAGATGCATTTTCCTTCATTTTATCAGTGCAGGATTATATCTGAGGTAATTTCTTGTTCTCCTTGAGTCTCACCTTACAGAGTCTCTGTTTAGCAGAGACACTGTAAAGTTTCTCTTTATAGCTGCATTAAGAGAACTTTCTAAATGCAGGTATAAACAAGGTGTGAATGAAAGAATGAAAGCGGGTGTTTTCATGAATTCATTTAAAATGTAGTTTGTACAAATCTACATTACTCAATACAGTTTCAAGGATTAAAAAATAAATATAAAGTACTTTCAACATGAGAAGGTTCTTATCTCAGATTTTCAAACCAAAGATTTTATGTCAGTGTTGCATATACCACACAGTGACACATTGGTCTATTCTGATGGAGCATGCAGGGTGAAACAGTAAACACAAATATCAAATTCCCATCACATACTCCTCCCTTGTGAGCATTCTTTGATCACTCAAGAATATACAGCATTACAAAAAGATCATCAGGTCATAGAAAGACATCATGATGTAATCTACACCAGTTTAACCAAGAAAACGAATCTGGGTCCTTCCTTTCATCACAGTTCTGCTGCTGCAACAATGGCATGTTCACTTGTTCATGGAGTGTGATCATTTGAATAGACACACATTTATCAATAGCTCTTACAGTCAAACCTCTGGCACATGGAATAATGCAACATCCACAGAGAGGTAACAGCGCTACAGCAATCATTAGGCCTGCTAGTATGGGCATCACTAAGGCTTTTTATTTAGCAAATACAGAATCAGACCAGTCAAACATATTAGTGTCCACTTCAGAGTTCTCTGCAAGTTCTTCTCGTAGCGAACGCATTCCTTCCAGCACTGGGGTCACCGAACCATCTGGAGCTGTATTGTTGGGCACAAACGTACAAGAGGAGTTATTAAAATTATCCAAGCATCCCAGCCTCTTTGGGTGCTTCTCTTGCCTCTAACACTGCTATGTGATGTCAATGCCTGTGTGTAGTTCACTGTGGTGTTCTGTTGTGGTGGCTTTTGTGCATCATGCTTGTGATCTAAGAACTGCAACAGAGGCACTGTTAATGCTATTGCAATGGCAGCAAACATCTGTGTTGTTCCTCGTAGGCCCACACATGTCTGGGTGTCTGACTGGGTCCCATGGATGTCTCCTTCCAGAGACAAACATGCTACTCACTCTTAAATCAGCAGTGGTGAGACCAGGAGTTTTCCCACTAGCTCCCTTGTGTTGATGTTTGCTGTCTAACAGCCTGTGGTCCGAGACAAAGGGTGCCTAAGCGTTCCCAATCCCTCCTTCACTCACAACACAAGGTCAGGGAAAACAGTGGTTCAGTTGCTGATTGTGCACGCTTGTTGATCTGTTACTGTTCTGGTGCAGGCACCTTCCTGCAGTGGCTGGTATGTATCCATGTAGCTCTTTCAGCCTCCACAACCACCACAAAACCTCCTGGCGGGAGACTGCATCGGCTTTGTTGCTGGAAAAGAAAAACTTTTATCCATTTTGGAAACATATCAACTATCATCAACAGTACTTTTTTGCCTTTGCTTGGCTTTAGATAAAAACCTCCCTCATAAGGTGGTTAAACGGTTCATCTGGTGGTGGATGTGCTGCTAATGAAACCTGTAATCCCCTCCCTGTGTTGTGTCTTAGGCAGATTGAGCATGTTTGACAAAAGTTGTGAGGGTGTGTTGTGAAACCTTTCATGAACCAGTGTCTTGCTTCACCACAATATTTCATTAGTGATACAGTTACAGTTTTACAACACCAGCACTCTGTAGTTTTCTAGTAAGGCTAAACTAAAAAGGAAGAAGAAGAATTGGTTAGTGTTAGATATTAGGCTCTGGCCGCTGCTCCTGTTTAGGAGAGGGAAAACTTTCAACAATGACAACAAGACAGTAATTCTTTCACGTGATGTTAGTTCAATCAATTATACGATCACGTCCCTCATTTCGCTGTAAATAAAAACAAATTATGGCACGTTATTCTGGGTGACACTCTGCTCTGTGTGTGTAAAACAGCCTCTCTGAATGAGTTTCAACCTTGAGCTTCCAGGCTGTCTGATAACACATCTCACACACAGACTTGTTGTTCACATTACATTCCATCTCTAACACTGAGCGACTTAGATTTGCATTCAGTTCCCCCTTTTCTCTGTGGAGGAGAGTGCATGGGCAAAACTCCGGACCATGTTTAAAAAAAGGGATTTAAACAATAACATCAAACAACAAGGAACGAGCAGGCAGCAGTCTTTTCCTGTAAAAAATCTGTTATCAATCTGTTAGCGTGCATCACATTTTATCATCAACACAGCAGCAGCACACAAAGAAACATCCAGCATAACATAAAAGCAACAGACACAGCAAGCAACATGACAATAAGCACCGGGCATCTGGTCTGCTTCCAAGATGTAGTGTCAAAACAGGTCATGTGATCGTCCTTTGGTCAGCAGCCTAAGTAAAAACGTAGGTCATGTGTTTGTAGTACCTGAGTACAGGCAGACTATAGAGAGCCATTTCAGTCAGTGAGGCTCTGCCAGCTCAGCTTCGTCAGTTCAAGTTAGTCAAGTGCACTGCTAGTTTACCATGAATCATGAGAGAGAGATTTATCTCTCTGTTCATCCTTTTTTAGTAATAGGATCTCTTGTCCATAAAATCATCATCACCTTCTTTATGGTGATTGGTTCTGGAATAGATGAAAAGGCTTGAATGCATTGGGAGAGAGAGCTTTGCTCTCATTGTGATCGCATTCCCAGATAAGTTATTCTGTCTATTCGAATTGCAATTAGAGACAGACAGACTAACCTTGTGTGTGGCCATTGTGGGCGAACCGCTTTAGCAACACAATGGTCATCAGAACGGAAACCAACCAGCCACGTGGGAAATATAACAATCACAATCTTTTTGAAAATGTGGGTGCGTACAGGTCACTCCAGCCTGCAGCAGTGAACAAAAAGAAAACATGTTTAATATTTCCAAGCGCTTCTTTTTTTTAGTAAATATTATTTCACACATCAAATCAAATCAAACTTTGTGTTAACTATAGCTATAGACTCTCATTCAATTTGCACCTCAGACATGAGGTCACTACGGTGGCCTGTAGGTTTCAGGCCTAATACAAACACCACAACACAAATACAATTAAAGCTGCAAGCAGCGTTGGGCGGGCCCTCGCACGTGTAGCGCGTTGGTGTGTGAGGCGGCCGTGTTGCATATTCTGGATCTCTGCCGGTGCAGCTGTGAATTTGCTACGCGCTTCTGACGCTGCATGAAGGTGTTTTACGTCACTTCCTGTGTCCCCTTTGTGGCACTACATAGCACTTGGCGCTATGAATATAAATTAATATTGGCGTGTGGATGTCTTCGGGGTGGAACAGTTATCAAGCACGTAAAGTACCGTTTGTATCCTGGAGAAGCCATTCCATGCATTTATGGACTACCCAAGATACACAAAGAAGGAGCCCCACTCAGGCCGATTATCAGCAACATCCTCACCATCCAAGAAAGGAAGGCTGTGACATCTCTGAGCAAGGATCAAAACATCACTATCCTACCTGCTGACAAAGGAAGATGCACGGTAGTACTTAACACAGTTGGCTACCAGAACAAAGTCAACACACTACTAATGGACACAAACACGTATGAGACACTGAGACGAGACCCAACCAGCGGATACAAGAAAAAGGCCATAGAATGTCTACAACAGTTACAGAAGGACAACACCATCACCCGTGAACAATATTACCGTTTGTATCCTGGAGAAGCCATTCCATGCTTTATGGACTACCGAAGATACACAAAGAAGGAGCCCCACTCAGGCCGATAATCAGCAGCATTAACTCGGTCACCTACAACATTGCCAAACACATTTCCACCATCTTAGCTCCATTGGTGGGAAACACGCCTCACCACATCCAAAACTCTATTGACTTTGTAAACAAAGTTCCAGGACTAAAACTGGATCCAGATGAAACCATGGTATCCTATGACGTGACTTCTTTGTTCACCTGCATCCCCACCATAGAGGCAGTAGAAACCGTTAGGAAATGGCTAACACAAGACAACACCCTGGACAACAGAACTAGACTCAGCCCTGACGAAATCTGCAAATTACTCGACCTCTGTCTAAACACCACCTACTTCCAGTACAACGGTGGATTCTACAGACAGAAGCATGGCTGTGCCATGGGCTCACCGGTATCCCCGATTGTGGCAAACATCTACATGGAAGAAGTGGAGAATAAAGCCCTCAACTCCTTCAGAGGAATAGCACCGAGCCACTGGTACAGATATGTGGACGACACCTGGGTCAAAATTAAAAGCCAGGAAGTGCAAGCCTTCACAGAACACATCAACTCTGTGGACAGTAACATCAAGTTCACACGAGAAGATGTTCACAACAACAGTTTGGCCTTCCTGGACTGCGCTGTACACATTGAAGAGGACAGGAACCTGCAGATTGGTGTTTACAGAAAACCCACACACACAGACCAATACCTACTCTTCGATTCACACCACCCACTGGAGCACAAGC